TAGTTGCCGATGGCCAGGGTCAGGAAAGAGCACATCATGCCGCGGCCATCGATGATGTCATCTCCTCACTATCAGGGTTGGTGTAGTACAACGGGGCTCAACGGGGCATCCACGGACTTCGTCAAGACGTCTGGAGGACTCGGCGGCGAAGTGGGCTGCGGTGGCCAAGTAGTCGTAGCCTGCCTTCGGCTTCATGATGTAGGAAATCAACACGTGCTTGCAGTTCCTTGCGACAACACATGAGCTGATTTGCTGATGTGCGAAATTTCGGCTTTCCCTTCGGCTTCGGCATGTCTCCCTGTGCAATTCGTCAACACAGTGCTACGGCAGACGAACTGATAAGTTCGCAAGCGAAAGCTTTGCGCTGCAACGGAATCAGCGGCGCGACTTCTACATCGCAATGTTTGTATGCTCGTGTGTCCACATTACTCCAGGCCCAGGAGCTTGATCAGTGTGGCTTCGTCCAGGGAAAGGTCCGCATATCGGCTCGACTGATCCAATGCTCGGCGCGTCACACGGCTGTCCTGGTCGCAGTCAGGGGCGTGCTGGTGTTGTGGGACAGCCGAAGACATCCCGAAAACCTCCAGAAAATCGTTGCTCTACCGCTGGATTCTAGACACGACTCCTGACATCCAGAAAACCAAACACTAAGTGAAAACTCCACTGAGGCCCGGCCCAAATCCCCCTGGCCTAGTTCCCCCCTACAAAGAGGAGAGGTTGAATGATGTCCAGACGTCCAAAACATGTCATGAACCTGAACCAGCAGTCCGCAGACCTGAACATAAAGCCACAGGCAAGGATTCCAACATCAATCATACCTAGAAGAACAACAGCAAGGACAGGAGGCTCTGACAGTCACAATTCCTGACAAAAGAGACGACAACGACCTCGACAGCAGTATCCACAAGTCAAACCAGGGAATAAGCAAACGTTTTTCTAAATCACGGCACCGAGCCCTAGGCCGAAATCGCACAGAAGCCCTGTAAGATATCTTTTTCAAGAAGATATCCTTCAGAGTTTCTGTGCGATTTCGGCCTGGGGCCCGCTGCCGTGTTTTAGAAAAATTCCCGAAAGCATCGCGAAGGGTTCTTCCGTGCGAAGCCCTTTGGAAAAGTACATAGGATCAAGTACACAGAGTACTATGCAGGCAGAGTCAAGTTTACAGAGCATAATACACAGAGTATAGTACACAGAGTGAAGTACATGGGAGTGAAGTACATCGAGTGAAGTGCATCGAGTCAAGTGCATAGTACACAGAGTGAAGTACATCAGAGTGAAGTACATCGAGTTGAGTGCATCGTGTCAAGTGCATAGTACACAGAGTGAAGTACATCGAGTCAAACACAGAGAGTGAAGTACATCGAGTCGAGCACCCGACTTATCTACGTCTAAACCGACTTATCTACATCTCGGTATATCTATCTTTCTTTCTAAAGCCGGAACCAGCACCGATGCCATCGATCGGGA